GTTGAAGGGAGGTTTAGTAAACTGCTGATTTTTGCGGAAAGATGAAGGTGGTATCTTTGAATTGTTGACTAACTAGAGCAATAGCGTTTTGAAATTCTTCTTCATCATCGTATTTTGAGTCTGCTTCGTATGACTGCGGAGGGTTGTCATAAGAGGGTGAGTAAGATTGAGTGTGAGGTGCCTGTGCTACAAGAGCGAGTGGTCCTCCGAAGTCACCATTTTAGTACGGCTGATTCTTGTGCTTGTAGTTCACCATATAGTTTGTAAAGAGATAAAGAATGAATTTTCCTATCTCCTTGGACTATCATCTTAGCCATAGTCCAATGTCTACCCAACCCATTGAGAAACTGAAGATTGGTCCTCATGGTTTACTTCGGATGGTGCCCAGCATTAGATAACTTTGTGACAATTAATTTGAACCTCTTGAAGGAATCTTCCAGACTTTCACCAACATGAGCTTTGAAGTTGTTGAATTCGTTGAGTGCGGTTGTAAGCTTCTTATCTTGAGCTTGTTCTATACCTTCATATAAGTTCTTAAGAACATCCCATATTTCTTTGGCTGACTTGCAATTTATGATGATGTCGAAGTTGTCAGGAGCAACTCCACAAGATATCTCATAAAAAGCAACAACATCGTTTTCCATCTTATAAATATCATCTTTGGTGTGACGATTCATGGCTGGTTGACCTCCTCCCAGTCTAGCTTGAGTGCCATCATTTGAACTAGAGTAAGAATAGGGACATAAGGTCCTTCTTCTACAGATCTCCATACATCTCTTCCAAGTCTTCGTAGATACCTCTCCATTCTTTGAGACCAGTGATGATATTCGTTTGCCACCAGTATTGGAGCTCTATTCGAACCTCCAATACTGTTGGAAACATTTAGAGATAATGCTTGTGCCATATTTCCTTGTTTTTGAAAAGATTTGATTTTTTTGTTTTTTGTTTTAAGAAATGAGCTCCAGTGGTATAGAAGGCCTTTAAAATCAGAGTTCTTGTTTAAAAAGCAACCACTTTGGCTCTGATACCAATTGTTGAGAGAAAAAACTTGAGTAACACACTTGAACAAACGTTAGAAAACAAGTAATAGTGCGGAATGAAGTTTAACTCAGTGGATCATAAAGCTCAACAATAATAATAAGTTAGAGTTAGATTGTTAGATAATTGGGTGCGGAAATATAAGGAAATGTAAGTGACAACAAGTATTATATCAAGAAGACACTATAAGCTGATTCTTAACAAGGATTGCAGAAAATCGAAGTTAGTAAATGAGATCAAGCTTAGTGATTAAGTCAAGCTGACTTGCTCCGAAGAGATAACGATCTTAATATTAGAATATGAAGATCTTTTAAGATGCGAGACTAAGAGAGAATACGATATTTCAATATAGAGATAGAATGATCGATTGAAGTGTGTTCATTCAGAATAAAAGAGCTCTATTTATAGATACTCGAAGATTACAATGTTAAATCTGTCTAGGGGTTGCCATGCAAAGCACACTGGACAAAGAAGTGTAAAGACATAAAACAGATTAAACTAAACTAAGATAGATGACTTCAATTGCGGATGAAGATCTTGGTTGCGGTGTGGAGCTTGACTGCGGATCTAGTTGATAGCTTCGGATCTCTTCAACTTTAAGAGGGTCAATTTTTATGTTTCAACAGAGACACTAGTTTAGATTACTTGATGCTCGAATGTTGCTTGCTTTGTGTTTTTTGGGACCTCCAATAATATCGGCTAACTATTAAGGAAATATGTTAGGTTACATGTTGCGGGGATTAGATAAGTTTAGAAGGTTAGGTTTAACTCTATTACGTGACTCTTGTTTGAGTCCAACCGTTATAGTGTGAGGCCTTGTAGTCGAAGAATTATCTAGTGCCTATGGCATGTAATTATATATGTGAGGTAGTTTGTCACACCCCCGAACCAGACGGCGGAAACGTCTGGGGGCTTGGTGTGACTTCATCCTTGTAGTATCATCACATAGTATATAATTGAAACATAACATCATCATCATCACACATGTAATATAACAACATACATTGTTTACATCGAGTACTGTGTTTGAATATTACATGCCAAAATAGTTAAAGTATGATGAAACAAAATATAACAAAATATCCATTAGTTTGTTCTGCCCAATGTGCTTCAATGGTTTCCTGAGAATACAAGTTAATTTAAAAAGATCAACATAAAAATGTTGGTGAGTTCATAAGCATGTTTGAGAAAATGATTTGTATAACTTTGTAATCACAAGAAAATCCTATATTTTCTTAAAATAGTTTAGTATGTTTGTGTCTGATCTTGTATTAATGCATGTGTGTTATTGTTTAATAGAATGCCAAAAGTGAATGAAGAGAATGTAAAGAGAATGCCCCCAGACAACCCTATGTTGTCTGTAAAAGAGAATGCTGGTATATAAAGCCCCAAGGTTGAGTACCGGCGCGAGTATGTTCCCGAGTAATCCAAAGAGAAAAGAGAATGGTCTCCCGTAAATTTCATAATGTTAATTCCTCTAAGTGAGTCGTTATAACCATACTAGATAATGACAATTTCGCCTGTCTTGGCATTTATGGACGCCGACGGAATAGAATAAGGTTTTCGTCACCCTAGACTGGATTAGTCTAACTGTAGCGAACAGCTCAGGTGTGGGGTGTCATCCCCGTATAGATCTATACACAAACCCCCGCTCTCCCTCCAAGAGACTCTGGTTATAACTACAGGCTACGATCGTACACTCAATAGGTGTCAACCGACACGTCTCACTAGATCCTTAATCGAATTTACGCGAAGAGAAACATATAAAGCACATTCCAGACCCAATGACCATGTAGGTGAACGACTAAGGCCCACTAAACATGTACATCATTTCTGGGCTCATAAGGAAAGGGATTATATAACCTGGGCCCAAAATATATGTAAAAGGACAACTAAGGCCCATTTCACATGTATGATATTTATAGGCCCAAATAGCACGCAAGGAGTATCCAAGGTCCGTCGAGCATGTAGATGGGTCAACAAGGCCCAATAAACATGTAAAGAGTATTCAGGACCTATCAAGCATATAAATGGGTCACTAAGGCCCGATAACATGAGAATGACAAAATTAGCCCATTTGTTACCTTATTGCTTGTTTTCATTCAATTATTTACCGAAATGGCATAAGAGGCCCACTTTTTTGTAAAAATAACATTTTTAACTCGCTTCTGTCAAAAATATCATTTTTAGCTTGATCTTTGTAAAAATGTGCATTTTCGGCCCAATTATAGATAATTTCATCTTTTTGGCCCAAATTTTAATAACATCACATTTTTAGTCCCTCTTATAAAAATTTACATTTTTGGCACAACTTTGTTGAAAATGACATTTAAGCCCATAAAAGTCCAAAAGTACATATTTTTGGCCCAAAGCCGTGAGAAGTCCAAAAATGGCCCATTTATGAAAATGTTTACATTTTTAGTCCTTGTAGGGTCTCAATTATTGCAACTAACCATGTTTAGCAAAAATAATCCTTTTTACCCCTAATAACCGTGAGTTGCATAATTAAGACCCATCTTTTGTGAAAATTGGCATATTTGGCCCATTAAAACCGTGAAGGCCCATATAGAAGCCCATTTGTGAAAATTTTGCACTTTTGGCCCCTTTAAGACCATGAATGTCATAAAGATTCATTTTGATTTAAAAATGACTCTTTTGGTCTTCTAAAAAAAAAACGTGAGTTACATAAGAACCTCACTTTTTGTTTATTTTGTCATAAATGGCCCTTTATGCGATTTTGGTTAGTTTTCACACATTTTTAACATGTTTAATCCTTTCCACCACATAGTATGTCAAATAAGATGGTTTAGTTTACAAACATCACCAAATATGGTAATTATTTTGTGGTTGGCAAGATCTAACTTGTTTTCACCAAATAATCACAACACATAACATGAAAACACACATATACATGCATACTATGCAGTTAAAATCGCCAATTTCCAGGTGATATCCAGGTGGGATATCGGTTATTGGTACTTCTTAAAATATTGGTATCAAATATCGGCCCATAATATCGGAACCGAATATCGGCGATAAATACCGATATTTGGATTCATAAATATCGGTTATATCACCGATTTTCCAGAAATTTTATTTTCGGGCCAAATTGTAGCTAAGCCCAAAAACATTAATTTTTTGGAGTTAATTTATGTGAATCCTTAGCAGATTAGCCCATACACGGATACACAATTACACATACACCTAATTCCCTAAAGTTGTAAACCCAAACTTAAACCTAGAATAGTCAATCCGATCGTCTTTCTGTGTTCGCTTTCAACCTCCGGCAAGGCTGCAACAACAATTTCGATTCATTTGGAACGTGCGACGACTCTTGTTCCATTCTTCTTCTTCATTCAATACTACCCTTCCGCTATTAAGGAGCTACGGTGCTGCTGTTTAGCCTATTCTTTGTCTACCGAGCCACCGAGGTACCTTTCTTCTTTACTCCATCGAGGTACCTTTATTTTCTAAGTTAAATAAGTAAATTAAGTTAACTATTGAAGCTATGATGCTACCCTCATACTGTTATAATGCTACCCTCGCACCTTTCTTCTTCATTCATTGTTTTACTCGAAGGTGTTGTTACATTAACTATTTTAGTTTTTGCAACCAGTTAACTGTTAAGTCGATGCCTCGATGGACAAATGGTATTTAATCGTATCTGATAATGCATTAATGCTATTGTCAATTTGTTATAATTTGTTAAATACTTAATTTTAAACTAGATACTAGATAGTTGATACAAGTTTGATAATATTTTTGTGTTACTGATTCTGTTTTTGAAACAGATTTGACAATGAATGATCCATCCTCACATGCATCTGTAAACCCAACAAACACAAACACTAATACAATATCATCTAATGCTGGAACTGGCATAAAATGTTTAAATGGAGATATGGCATGGGAATGGGGAGAGTGGAGAGATCCCTTGAAAAAACAAACCATTTGGTGCACATTATGTGGTAAGAAAATAAGTGGAGGAATCACACGAGTTAAGCAACATCTTACTCATACCGGAGGACAAGTCACCGTTGTCCGAATGTGACTGTGGATATCCAGAAGAGAGTCATGGCATCAATGAAACAAAAAGATAGGATAAATATAGAAAAGAAAAGAAATACACAAATACTTAGATCAAGCACGGTTGATCTTTCTGATGAAGTTGAGGATGAAGAAGTTGATGTTCAAGAAGTTAGTGTAAAAAGAAATGTTTCAAAAAAGAAAAATTTTGTGGGTTCTAGCAACGTGAGAGGGCCTATTGATACAATGTTTCCGATTAATCAAGAAAAAACAAAGCAAATTACATTGGATAAAAATAATCCAATAAAAGAGAAGTTAAAGATGAATGTTTGGGATAAAATTGCAACTTGGGCTTATTCGGTTGGTTTACCCTTCAATGCCGTGTGTGACGAAAGTTTCCAAGATATGATCAATTCAATTGGAGAATACGGAAGAGGTATTTAAATGTGATTAAAGATTTATTCATTATTTGATTATTACTTACATAATTAAGTTTATGAATTTATATTAGGTATGCCAGCTCCATCTTATCATAATATTTGTGTCACACTGATGAAAAAACGTTTAGAAGATACTCAAAAGTTTGTGGATTCGTTCCGACCACATTGGGAGGAATATCAGTGTAGCATTATGTCTGATTTTTGGACAGACGGGAAAGGAAGATGTTTGATAAACTTCTTAGTTAATTGTCCTCTTGGAACGGTATTTTTGAAATCAATTGATTGGTGCATCAGAGCATGTGAAGAATGCTCAATTGATTGTGGAGATGATAAATGAGGTGATAAAAGATGTTGGAGAGGAGAACATTATACAGGTAGTTTTACTTTTCTAGTTTTCTAATTATTAATTGTTATTTTAACTTTTTGTTGATTTTACTAATTAAACTCTTTTTTTTATTATTTATCAGTTCATTACAGACAACGGGTCAAACTTTAAAGCTGCCGGAAAGATTTAAGAAGAACAACATCCAAAGTTGTTTTGGACTCCGTGTGCAGCACATTGTGTGAATCTCATGATATGAGATATTGGTGAGAAAATACCAAAGATAAAGATTGCTCTGACTGATGCGAGAGCAATTGTGGTTTACATTTACAACCACGGGAGGATTCTTAATCTGATGAGGAAGTTGACAAAGAACTAGGAGTTGCACAGGTCTTGTGTAACTAGGTTTGCAACACAAGTTTATACTATTCAGAGTATCCACGAGAATCGACATCATATTCAAGTATTGTTTGTTTCTGAAGAATGGAAGAAAAGTGACTTTGCAAAGAAGGCAGTTGGAAAGAAAGTCGAGCGAATAGTGGCAAGAAAGGAATTTTGGGATAACATACACTTAGTTTGTAAAGTGCTAGCTCCTTTGGTAGATGTTGTCAGATTGGTTGATACAGAAGAGAAGCCATGTATGGGTTACATCTATGATGCAATGGATAAAGCAAAGGAGCAAATCAAGACAAATCTCACTTGGATGCCTAATGAAAGAATGATCACTAGAGTTTGGGCTATGATTCAAACAAGATGGACTGACCAACTTCATCATCCATTACATGCAGGTATTAAACTTTATATTTATTAATTTAATAGAATTTCTTAGTTTTATTTCTAAATCTTTATTGAATGTACAGTTGGATGTTACCTGAACCCTGCCATTTTTCATGGGGAAAATTCAAGGGAGATACGAAAGAACAGAGACATTGCGACAGGACTTTATGTTGAAATTGATCGTCTAGTGCCTGATAATGATGACAATGATAAACTGAGGCAGGACTTGAACTTATACATTAATTCAATTGGGCAATTTGGATCTTCAACTGCTATAAGGGCTAGAACGAAAGTTGCACCATGTAAGTAAAATATTTTAAACACATTCACATGTTTTTATAGCCTTTTTTTTATTAAGTCACTTTATTTATTTAATATTTATGAAATGTAGATATATGGTGGCGTACTTATGGCATCGACACACCTTTGCTCCAAACATTTGCTATCACATTCCTTAGTCAAACGTATAGTGCTTCACCTTGTGAACGCAATTGGAGTGCATTTGACAATGTAAGTTCTCTCTAACAAGTGTTTTTATAAATAATATTACATTTAACCTATTTACTTCATTAAATAATTCTTTTATTTTTTTATGTGCAGCTACATTCAAAGAAAAGTAATTGTCTTTTACAACAAAAGCTCAATGATCTTGTATTCATCCAATACAACACAAGGTTACAAAGACGCTTCAACTCGTTAAAAGCCAACAGATCTTTGGATCCTATTTTGTTGAGAGACGTAGATGAAAATGATGATTGGGTTATACCAACAGAAGTTGAGCTTCAAGAGTTTGTTGATGGTAGAGATGGTCTTCTTTGGTCAGCTGTGCGAGAGCCAATGGTAGGAACCGAAGAAGTTGGGGTAACTACTAGGAGCAAAAGAGATCGCTATAGAGATGATGATGATGATGATGATGATATTCGAGTTGAAGTGGAAGATCTTGATGAACAATTGGATTCCTTGGGTGATGTGGGCTCGGAGGAAGATTTCATGTCTTACGATTAGATTATGTGTCAAATAATGACACTTTTTGAGCATGCTAGTTGCTATTATATTTATATATGTTTTAAACATTAACACTTTTTGAACATGCTAGTTGCTATTATATTTATGTATGTTTTAAACATTAACACTTTTTGAACATGCTAGTTGCTATTACATTTATATATGTTTTACGTTAAATGGTTATAATATATATAATTTTCATAATATTACAATACCGATATCCCACCGCGATAACCTATATATCAAATATCGGTCCTTGACCGATATTTGTTTTTTGGACCGCTATAACTGCATAGCATGCATAAACATATATATCTACATAAAACAACTTGTATTCTCCCCAAAAACATAGTAAAAACTGAAAATAAGGGGTATGAACTCACTTTGCTTTGGAGATTTCGGTTCTTGGTGAGGAAATGAGAAGATCTCGGCCCTAGATGTTTCCTTGAGAAGATTTTCGAGATCTATGAAGTTCTAAGAGCATGGATCATGAAATGATGTAGGTTAAGGAGAGATTTTTAGTGTAAATTTGAAGTTAAACCATAGAGTTAAACAAGAACTTACCAAGAGTGATGAGCTTTAATGAGGAGTTCTTGATCTTTCACAAGACACACTCGAAATTTTGGAGATACGATGAGTAAATTCTTGATGTTCTAGAGAGATCTTTGTTGTAGTTGAAATGAAAGAAGATGAGAGTGGTGAAACACTCTTTGGCCGAGGGTTAAGAAGAAGAAGAGAGAAGAAGGAGGGAAATGTTGAAATGATGTTGCACGGGTGTATGTGATTATCTTGATATTTGTTGTGTTTAAGCATGGAAGTCCACCATACAAAGATTAGGTGGCACTTAGTTTGTCATCTTGTTATTTTATTTTATTTTATTTTTTTATATATTGGGCCGAGAATGAGATAGGGTGAGAAGAAATGTAGGGCTAGAATTGAATATACTTGAAACTACAAGGTCCAAGGTGGAAGTTTTCGGCCCATTGGGCCCTCTTAGGGGTTTACGGCCCAAAAGAGTGAACATAATGGGTTTTAGGCCCATTTAGGTTCAAGAAAACATATATGGCCCATTATGGCCCATAAAAACGAAGTGAGTCATTTTAGGCCCAACATGGCCCAAAATACTTTAGCTTAATGAATGTGGGTCCAATTAGAGCCCAAATAGGGTTCCTTGGCCCAACATACCTAACTTGAAAGTTTATTGGCCCATTAGGCCCAATAAGAGGATCCTAGTCCATAATAAATTTGAACCGAAATTATTTTTTTGGGTTTCAGACCCATATTTAAGTATATGAGATGTATTGTATTAGGTTTTGAACTTCACTCAGGAGTTTTGATTCAAATGGATGATTTTGATTGAGCATAGAGTATGATATCCACTTAGAGTACAAGTCTTACAATAGTTGATGTTTACATGAAAACATAATTTCCTAGCTTAAAATGCTAGTTGTGACATCATCCCCCCCGTTAGAGGGAATTTCGTCCCGAAATTCTTTCAAAAAGGTAGGATCATGAACGAGAGAATAAGTGAGGATACTTCTGCTTCATCTGGTCTTCGCGTTACCAGGTGAATTCCAGTCCACGCTTAGCGTTCCATCAAACCTTCACAATCGGAATGCGACTTTGTTTCGTACGCTTCACTTCCCTATCCATTATCTCGACCGGTTCCTCGACGAACATGAGATTCTTGTTTATTTCGATCTCTTCTAGAGGAACGGCGAGGGTTTCATCTGATAAGCATTTCTTCAAATTCGAGACGTGGAACACGGGGTGTACGTTGCTAAGCTCCGTAGGTAGCTGCAGCTTATAGACCACCAGACCACTTCGGGCAAGAATCTCGAATGGTCCGATGTATCGTGGATTTAGTTTTCCCCGTTTCCCTAAATGGATCATCCCTTCCCAGGGAGAGACCTTTAATAGTACCCGATCTACGACTTGGAATTCCAGGGGTTTTCTTCGTTTGTCAGTGTAACTCTTTTTTCGGTCACGCGATGCTTGAAGCCGGGCTTTGATTTGGACTATCTTCTCTGTAGTTTCTCGAATTATTTCTGGTCCTGTAAGGGTACTGTCTGGTGATTGCCCTTTTTCCAGCTGGGTGTCACCCAAGTCAGCCTAGCAGAGAGGCGATCTGTATTTGCGACCATATAAGGCCTCAAAAAGAGCAACCTTTATGCTTGTGTGATAGCTGTTTTTGTACGAGAATTCAATCAAGGGAAAGTGAGTATCCCATGACTTGCCGAAATCGATCACGCAGGCTCGGAACATGTCTTCGAGTGTTTGGATGGTTCGTTCGCTTTGGCCATCGGTTTGAGGGTGGTAAGCAGTGCTCATGTCTAGTTGTGTCCTTATAGCCTTCTGGAATGACTGCCAAAACCAAGAAGTAAATGTACTATCACGATCCGAGATAATAGATTCTGGCACTCCGTGAAGTCTCACAATCTCTTTGATATAAATTCGTGTTAATCTTTCCATCTTGTACGATTCTTTTATTGGCAGGAAATGAGCGGATTTGGTTAACCTATCGACAATCACCTAGATAACATCCAATCCGTCTGCTGTCTTAGGTAATTTAGTTATTAAGTCCATAGTAATCCTTTCCCATTTCCACTCAGGTATTACTGGCTGTTGTAATAACCCTGAGGGCTTTTGATACTCCACTTTCACTTTGGCGCAAGTGAGACACTTGCCCACGTAAGTGGCGATCTCTGCCTTCATATTTGGCCACCAATAATGTTGCTTAATATCCAGGTACATCTTGTCCGAACCTGGGTGGATGGAATATCGCGTTTTATGAGCTTCGTTCATGACTATCTCTCTGAATCCCCCAATTTTATGGACCCAAATTCTATTCATGAAGTAGTAAATTCCGTCCTCCCTGGCTTCAAAGTTTTTATCCATCCCACGTAGTGTTTCATTCGTGACATTCTCCGGTTTCAATGAATCTGATTGGACTCCCTTGATCTGTGAGGTTAGGTGGGAGTGGATGGTTATTGATAAGGTTTTCACCCGGCGACCTGAGTATTCTTTCCTGCTCAGGGCATCGGCTACCACATTAGCCTTGCCTGGGTGGTACTTGATCTCACATTCATAATCATTTAGCAGCTCAACCCACCTTTGTTGCCTCATGTTCAACTCTTTTTGGTTAAGAATATGCTGGAGGATTTTGTGATCGGTGTAGATGGTGAACTTTGTACCGTAGAGGTAGTGCCTCCAAATCTTTGGGACGAAGACCACAGCTCCCAGCTCGAGATCATGGGTGGTGTAAATTACTTCATGCGTCTTCAATTGCCTGGATGCGTAAGCTATCACCTTTCCACGCTCCATGAGGACACAGCCTAATCCTTGGTTTGAAGCATCGCATTAGAATACGAAGTCTTCGGTTCCCTCTGGTAAGGATAACACTGGTGCACTACAGAGCGCTCGTTTCAAGGTTTGGAAGGTAGCTTCTTGCTTTTCCATCCAGTTGAAAGACACACCTTTTTGTGTCAAGGTGGTGAGGGGTTTGGCTATCTTGGAAAAATTCTGGATAAACCTTCGGTAGTAGCATGCGAGACCCAAGAATTGTCAAATTTCTGTGGGTGTCTTTGGGATCGCCCAGCCTTCAATGGCCTTGATCTTGGAAGGATCTACATGAATCCCTTCCTCACTGACTACGTGACCAAAAAAGTTTACACTGCGAATCGAGAACTCGCATTTAGAGAGTTTTGCATATAATCGCTCAGCTCTTAGAGTTTCCAGGATTTGACGGAGATGTTGACCATGCTCCTCTTCGCTTCGGGAGTATACAAGAATATCGTCGATGAAGACGATCACAAATTTATCAAGGAAAGGGTGGCAGACTCGATTCATGAGGGCCATAAATGTTGAGGGGGCATTTGTTAGACCGAAGGGCATCACAACAAATTCGTAATGGCCGTATCGAGTTCGGAAAGTAGTTTTTGGAATATCTTCTTCTCGGACTCGAAGCTGATGATAACCGAATCTTAGATCTATTTTGGAGAAGTAACTAGCTCCTTGAAGTTGGTCAAATAGATCGTCAATCCGAGGGAGTGGGTATCGATTTTTGACAGTGAGTTTGTTTAATTCCCTATAATCGATGCACATTCTGAAAGATCCGTCCTTTTTCTTGAAGAACAAGACCGGAGCTCCCCAGGGTGAGAAGCTTGGTCTGATGAACCCTTTTCTCAACAACTCGCTTAGTTAGCTGGATAACTCCTGGATTTCGGTGGGAGCTAGCCGGTAGGGTGATTTGGCAATTGATCTGGCTCCTGGTATTAGGTCAATTCGGAATTCGACCTGTCTCTCTTGGGGTATTCCCGGAAGGTCTTCTGGAAATACATCCGGGAAGTCGCATTCCACTGGGATGTCTTTAATGTTTACTTCTTATTTGGTTTTATCCACAACATGAGCGAGGAATGCGTAGTTTTTCTTGTGCAGACACTTTTGTGCCTTGATGCACGAGATAAGACGGAGATTGACGCCAGGTTTATCACCATAGATTATTAGGGTTTCATGGTTGGGGAGGTGAAGGCGAACGACCTTCTTGCGACACATAATATCAGCATGGTGGGGGCTTAACCAATCCATGCCGATTATCACATCAAAACTCCTAATATTTACTGGCATTAAATCTATTTTAAATGAATGGTTGTTTAGTGTTAATGTGCACCCTACGTATACATCTTTGGTTGTTTCGGTTTTCCCATTAGCCATCTCCATCGTGAAGGTTTCGTTGAGCTTCTGGGGTTGTTGGTTTAGTAAGTTTTTGAATTTGTTACTAACGAAGCTTCGCTCGGCTCCGTTATCGAATAAAATGCATGTGTAATTGTTGTTAAGTGGGAACGTACCAGTCACAACCGTCGGGTCCTGAACTGCTTCACTTTAACCCATTGTCAATACCCTTCCTGACACTCCTGCCCCCTGGTTGTTGGCTTTGGCGCAATCGCGGTTGAAATGACCACTTCCTCCACACCCATAACAAGTGTGACTGGCCCCAACAT